TCGAAGATTAGGACTAATTTCGTCTTTGCAGATCGGGATATATATTACCTAATTTCTATTTTTTATAGAACAGTGTTTATTATAATTACTTAAGGAAGATGTGCTTTTTAATCGATTCAATAATCATTTCTAGAAAAGTTATGCTTGTGGATCGTGATATAGTTAGAAATGTCCGATTTTCATAACTACCATTTCTTGTGAAGAAAAAATGTGTCGACGGTATTTAATTTTGTACGAAAGGTTTCAATTTTTCTGACAACGTTTTACCGATGACTATGTTATATAGTCAGTAATGAACAATATTTTCGATGCCTTTACGATCCGTCACAAAAAGTATTTTTTTCTTACCAAAAATTACTGACGAACTGTTTATGGCGTCAACAAAGATTTTTTTCTAACCAAATAGTACTTACAAGCTTTTGATTGTGTCACAAATAATTTTTTCAGACCAATTAGTGCTGACGAACCTTTTTGGTATTAAAAATATTTTTGTGCTGACCAAATAGTATTCATGAACTTTTAATGGTGTCAAAAATAATTTATCCTGACCATTTAGTGCTAACGAACTGTTTATGGCGTCAAAAATTATGTTTTCCCGACCAATGAGTACTGACGAACTGTTTTTTTGCATCAAAATAGTTTCTTTTCTAACCAAATTGTACTTACGAACTTTTAATGGTATCAAAAATATTTTGTTCTGCCCATTTAGTGGTGACGAATTGTTTATGGCATCAAAATTAAAAATTTGTTTTGACAATCGTTCCTTTGTCGTCAATAATAATCAATTTTTTCTGACGACAATTTTGTATTGGTCAGTAATATTGATTATTTCTAACACAAAAAACGAAATCATAAAAAATAATGAGCGTGGGAAATTGAAACCGGTCCAAAATACATATTAATGACGAAAAAACACAATTATTGACAAAAATTCAACTCTGTCAATAATGATGCATATATTAGTGACGAAAACTGTTGTTCGTCGGAATTAGGCCTCTTTTTCGACACAATTTTTGAGTCATCAATAAATTTTCGTCACAATTGTCTGTCCTTTTTGTAGTGTTCCTCTTATTTCTTCCCCTCGATCCTGCACTGCGACCGCTTGGAATTACGAGGGAGGGAAGGGTTTGCGGCGGTGGGGAATAACAACAATAATGGGACGGGGTTAAATTATTGTGGGGGAAAGATTACAGGGGGCCGGGCGGCTCCCACCTTTAGTATTTATATTTTTAATAAATAATAGTAATAATTATATAATAGTAATTATTATTATTATTAATCCGCGATTGCAATCTTTCGTACGTAACTGTTAATCCAACCGTTCATTTATTATGGTCGAACCCAAATCTAAATTGTCGGGGTGTTACAGTGTTTGGAATGAAACCCTAAGATAATATCCATGATTCATTAAAAAAAATCCACTAATAAAAATGATAATATCCATTTCAAATAAAACAATATCCAAACATTATGAATTAATATCATTAAAGCCAAGACTAATATTAACTGATAAAACAACAAATACCCACACCAACCAGTATAATATCCGACCACATAAGACTAACATCCATCCACACCAGAAATAATATCCTCTCTTAAACGAACAAATACCATTGACACCCTTACTAATATTGCAACCACATAAGCTAATATCCGAAATCACAAACAGACTAATATCAGGGTCTGCAAGACACTCACTCTCCTACTATTACTAAGTTCGTGATACTAGAAACCATACTTGATGAATGTGATGGTAGATGCTTAAATAAACAAAGATGACATTTGAATAGTTAGTACAACGTTCACATGAGAATAGTGACCATAAGTTTCACATGTGAATAGTTACAAACTAATATCCATCGCATAAAATACATGTTCATAAAAAACAAACATCCATACCGCCGAGAAAAATACCCATTCACCACAAAACAAATATCCTTCCTTTCTCAAACAAATATCTGTGGCGCCCAGACTAACATCCATCCACAACAGAAATAATATCCTCCCTTAAACGAACAAATATCCTTGACACCCTTACTAATATTGCAACCACATAAGCTAATATCCGAAATCACAAACAGACTAATATCAGGGTCTGGAAGAAACTCACTCTTATAGGTGTCAATCGGGCACATTCGGGCGGGTTCGGGCTGAGTTCAATCGGATTCGGGTTCAAACGGATTGCGGGTTAGTCGGGTAGCGGTTTCGGGTTCATCAGGTCCGGGTTCAAATGGGTTGCAGGTTAGTCGGGTTGCGGGTTCATCGGATTTTGGGTCGGGCGGGTTGCGGGCGGATCGGTTTGCAGGTTGTTCGGGCCAGCGCATCAAGTAATTTACTCATTACTCGTTACCAACTTACACATTTTATTACAGTAATTTAAAATATTTTCTCAACTTTTTAACCAATTTATTTCTACCTCGTATATATATATACTTAATTTTTTTGAAAAAAAAAACTAGTCAAAATGTTTAATCAATTTGTATGACTTGCAAACTTGTTATGTAATTAATCATAATTGGTAAAGTACACTAGCTAATAATAATGGTGATATCAATATTTGCAACCAAAAGACACCATTAATTGTTTATTTGATATTTTAGTATTAATTCAGTAGTAATTGGATTAAAGTATCTCGTTTAGTATAACCATGCAAATCTGGTATTTGGCGTGTGCTATTTGGCAAAAGCAAAATGATAAAAGGAGTTATTTCGAAATAACTCATTGCCCAAATAACTTCAGTAAACTATTGTCAAACGAGTTATTTGTAAAATTGTTTGAATTATCCTAAAAATTGAACCATTAAAGATTAACTATCAAATTTAGTAAAATTATTGTGACTTCAATCATAACTTACTCAATAACATATATCCTATACACTTAGCCTTACCCTCAATCAACAATATTAAGTTAGTATATGTTGTTGATTGTATACACTAACCACATACCCTATATCCTAACCATATGTCCTTGAGTTGTGATTTTGCTAGTATAGTTAATTTAAAAGTGAAATTCATACTTTGATTTTCAAAACATAGATAAAAGTGATATTTGCTAATTGCTATATCCTAACCATATATCCTATACTTTACACCACATATCTTGTACCCTAACCACGTACCATAAACATAAATTAAAAAGGGATCTCCTGCCGTTAAAGACTTCAAGTGACTTCAACTGAACATATGTTAATAAAAAACTTAGAACCGTCAAAACCATCAATATCTTATACCCTAACCATATACGCCTTAAACCATCTGTACCTTATACCCTATACCCTAAGAAGAGCCGCAGTGTGGGGAGAGGAGGAGGGTATGTTTTCATTGCAAGTTTTGGCTTTTGGGAATTAGGGTTTGACTTAGTTAGATGGGGAAGGAAGGGAAGGTTGATTGGGGTTCGGTTGGGGGTTGGTTAGCCAATCGCCACCAAAGAGCAACGACTTACGGTTACCGACTAACCGATCGGTTTTGGTTATAATCAACAATTAGCCGGTTACCAAAAACCGTTTGCCAAGTCCTACATACCATAGTGTAGAATTGTTGAATACATGATAGTAGGTACGGAAGTGTACAATAGTGGTATGAACATACCATAGTGTATAATGGTTGAACACATGATAGTAGGAATAAACGAACTGTCATTTACAATATTCACAATTGTTTACCACCAGTTACCACTCGTATACCAGGGTGGTATGGAGTGGTATATTTTTGTCCTGTATTTTTTCCCTAAAATTCGAGTATCGAATAGATCACGATGAACTCATTCCTTCAATGTAAAATTTCAAAATTTGAGTTAAAATGAAGGTGCTACCAAGTGGTAACAAGAATGGTTTCAGTGGTATGAACTTTTTCTCTCAAAAGATATTAAAAATGAATCTCATTTTGAAGATCACAATGAAAATGTTCCATCTAAGAAAAAAAAAACAAATTTGAAATTCAAGTTAGAGCAAAGAAGATAAAGTTGATTAAGAAAACAAGGAAAACGAAAAAAAAAACTATTAATTAAAACACCTTAGATCTGAGCTCTTCTAGCCCCACTCAAAACTAAGGGCCCATATAGGATTATGCAATAATGCATAATCCTATCTTAAACCTCGTGTGTTTAATAGTATGATCCATTGTTATAAACTATAGTAAGTTAAGTATATTAAATATAAATTAATATAGAAATAATAAGTGAGTTAGAAACTTAATTCATTAAATACGGATATTAAACTTGTTATACAGGTTTTATAAGTGTTTAGTACAGGAGTCTTCAAATGAACAGGGGAAATAAAACGACATAAAAATAATACGAATAGAAAAGTTTTACAAAAATAAAATACATACTGTCATATATGCGTGTATTAAACGAAGTATTTACTAATTATGTTTGCTTTGTAATATGTTTACCTCTTTTGCATTATAATATGTAGTCAGATTAATTAGTTTTGTAATTTATTATATAGGACGTAGTCTTCCTCAAAATATTGAAAATTGTTCTCCTTTGTCTATTACTGTAGCTACTAGCTAGCCCAAGTTTCAACAAATCAAATACTTTGATTTGACATTTAATTTGTTGATTCCCCATAAGTTAAAACATTATTATTCATTGCCTAACGACATCTCACATTGAATTAAAACTCGCCGTCAAACAAGCGTTGAAATGGGAAAATTTGAGTTGGTGCATATGTCGGTCAAGAATAGATGCTTCTCCAGTTGGTGACCATGGTTAAGGACAAACTGGAAGTCAAATGGAGCATAGGTACCGAAGCAATCGTTTGTCACTAATTAACTATAAAATTGTTCTCTACCAGAAAGCTAAAGTAAACACAAAAACAAAAGCTTCTGTGGCATAGAAATGCCAAAACAGGTTGGAGAATTACTGCCATATACCTATGACTGGCTGCTGCTTACCATAATAGTACCACTTTCATCCCCAATTATGTATATATTGTCCCACGTGAACCGCTCATATTAATAAAAATACACACTCAACTCAATCAATCTCCCACGGTTAGTATGACCAACAACATCATGGGCTTCCTTTCTCGCACATCGTCTGTGTTAGTGGTTATTATTAGTTGTTGTCTTGTAGGAGTTGCACTAGCAGGCAACTTCTACGAGGAATTCAGCCTTACCTGGGGTGGGCCGCGAGCTCAGATTTCGAATGGAGGGCGGCAGCTCAGCTTGTCTCTGGACAACACCTCTGGCTCTGGGTTTGAGTCTAAGAAGGAGTATTTGTTCGGCAAGATTGATATGCAGCTCAAACTAGTCTCCGGCAACTCAGCCGGCACCGTCACGGCTTACTATGTACGTATTTATATTTTAGTTGGGATATTGACAATAAAGTCTTTAAACTTATTAGCATTTCGTATGTTTTTATGTCGGACCTAACTAGTTTGGTTGTTTATTATTGCAGTTGTCGTCTAAGGGAAACAAACACGACGAGATTGACTTTGAGTTTCTAGGAAATTTAAGTGGAGACCCATATATCCTTCACACCAATGTATTTAGTCAGGGAAAAGGAGGTAGAGAACAACAATTCTATTTATGGTTCGACCCGACACAGGACTTCCACACCTACTCTATCATTTGGGTTCCCCACCATATCGTGTTCTTGGTAGACAACACGCCGATCCGGGTCTTCCAAAACTCGGAATCAATTGGAGTCCCTTTCCCCAAGAACCAGCCCATGAGGATCCACTCGAGCCTCTGGAACGCTGATAATTGGGCAACTCGGGGTGGGCTTGTGAAGACCGACTGGTCCAAGGCACCATTTACTGCGTATTATCGTGGTTTCAACTCCATAGGCTTCCCCAATTCATCACCGTCGCCTTCATCCAAATCTTTTTCAGACGGGAATTGGGAGGCCAAGGAGTTGGATACAAAGGCACGAAGACGGGTGAGATGGGTTCAGAAGAACTTCATGATTTACAACTACTGCGCTGACCTTAAACGCTTTCCACAGAGCCTACCTCCTGAGTGTTGATCACAAATTTTCTTAACTAAATTTCCAAAAATAAATAATGGGCAGGTTGAAACAGTTGGATTTAGTTAAATTTGATTGATCAATTTCAATTATTTGTAATGCTTTAGTGTAATTTTTAATTTCTGTTGCATGCAACAAATGCAATACATAATAAATCAAGCTAAATTGTATGCATGTACGAGTATTATTTGTATTACATATATATTTTAATCCATCAATCTTTTATTTTTTATTTGTTGTTTAAACATAATTTTTACAATTACTATTATACTTTTTTTGATTTTACACTAGTCAAACTAAGTAATAACAAAGTAATCACGCTCCTCTCCTCCTATTGATTGGATACTAATGTTGCGACCCTAATAACACAATGAGTGTTGTCACCATATCCTCTCCCCTATATAAAGTTATGTTCAATTCTTTTTTTCTTTTTTTTAGGAAAGTTGTAACATCCCGAACCTTTTCCCGACGAAGATATTGTCCGCTTTGGGCCTCGGTCCTCACGGTTTTCGACTTAGGTGCAATTCAAGGTGACATCCCATAAGGTCACCCATCCTTGTAGTACTTCATACTTAGCACGTTTAACTTCGGAGTTCTCACAAGAAGTCCTCCATTTCACCCCAAAACGCGTCTTGTTAGTTAAAGTCGATTCCCTACTTATGAACCATGGATCTCTCCCGTGCTTTGTCGATGTGGGATTTGCCTAAGGTGTTACATACACCCCCCTCCCTTAGGACTCAACTCCCTTGTTGAGGTTTCCCCCACCATCGTTCAAGAGGGACGCGAAGAGGCTCTGATACCACTTGTAACATCCTGAACCTTTTCCCAACGAAGATACTGTTCGCTTTGGGCCTCAACCCTCACGGTTTTCGACTTGGGGTGCAATTCAGGGTGACTTCCCATAAGGTCATTAATCCTTGTTGTACTCCACACAGAGCACGTTTAACTGCAGAGTTCTCACAAGAACTTGTAACACCCCGACCTTTGGGTTTGGGTTCAGGTTCGACCATAATATGTGATCGTTTGATTGATTGTTACATATTAAGAGTTGCAACCACGGATTAAGAATAGTAATAATAATAACAATAATATATAATAAAGCTAATGGTCGGCCAAAAGAGGCCGAGCCATTAAATCCCCTGCCATCCCCACTCCCAGCTGCCAATGTAGTCAAAATCACGCTTTAAAGTTTCAGAACTTACGCTTTTACGTTTTTAGGTCACCAAAACGATTCTATGCAGATCACCACTTTTATAACTTATGTAGTTAAAATTTGCACTTTGAAGCTTAAAACGTTACAGATTTTGGGTGGTCACTAAAACGGCTGGGAATTTCTAGAAACGTGTTTTAAGATATTTAAATTGTTTCGAGCCTTTTCCGATGATGTTTTCTGGATTTAGCAATTTTATAAATTGAGGGACGTTTTGCAGATGGGTGTAAAGTAATTTGGGGAGGTTTGAAGATGTATTTCTATTTTTAGAAATTATTCGAATGTTTATTTTAATTAATTAAAAATCTTACCGAGGGGATTTTAAGGATTAGATAATTTTACAGGGTATAGGTGTCTATGTTGACATAGGAAAATTTTTATCTGAATTTTTAAGAAGGTTCAAGTTAGGTGGAAAATTCGTTCAAGACAAAAATAATTAGAAAAAAATGGTCGGTTTTGAAGAGATTACTTCTAGAAAATTTTTAAAGGGGGTTAAGGAACCTTTGGAGCGAGGCTCGAGGGCGGAAATTTGAGGAGAGGGTGTCTGGGTAAATAAAAAGGGGTTTTAAATCGAAAAAAGTCGTCTAAGAAAATGGATTCATATTAATAGGTTTCCCCAAGATAATCCAGCTAAGGAGGGGTTTCTTCGAGGAAGGAATCGAGGAGTCATCTTTTCGAGGTGAGTGTAAAGGGGGTAATATCTCAATCGTTGGTCTTTTAATTTACGCCTTTTGTTTCAAGTTATTATTTGGTTAATTCTTGAGTTGTAACAACCTACCCTATACGTTTTGCGTAATCATATTGTTCATACAATTGCAGCGGAATTAATCATGGGTGTTACATTAATTACCAAAATTTACCCAAATAAAATTTCGACATGAATTACTCGCGTAATGGACTAACAGTTCTTGCAACTTATCCTGCAAAATAATTCATCATAAACATATATACTCACAACCATATGCCTTGGCTTTTCATAGCCATAGTCACAGTTTCATACTACCCAACTGCATACTATACTGATACATGCTATAATCATCACAACTTACATAATTATACAATATACACATATCATCAACTTTCCACACCTGTGGATATCTCACACTACATCAGAAGCTAGTATGCACATGAAAAACGTTCTCAAAACATTTTTACAAAAATGTTTGGATCACTAGCCAAAATCCCGAGTAGTAGTCCAAGCACAGAATAGTTGAAGACCATACCTCATCCTGTCTTCAACTCTAGCTCCTCTCCCACCTAACACTTATCTACTGCTGCTGCTGATGATCTGCTTACACATAGCATAAGCAGAGAAGAAGAATAAAAGAAGGTCAACTCATAGCTAAGTGAGATAATCATAGCATCGTGAGTTCATAACAGAGCATACCCCTACCATACATCTAGCAAACAAGCCAAAGCACTAGGATCAGACCTCAGCCATCCGACATCCCAATAGGCAAAAGACTCAACCACTTTGACTTATGCATATGCATCTTATCATGTTTTACTTATAGGCGCCTGGCTACTCCCATGCTAATAACTCTCCCAGGCAACATACCCCACATCCCGTCGGATGTAGTTATACATACCCCAACATCCCGTCGGATGTGGTAATACATACCCCACACCACTATGGGTGTAGTCATACCCCGACACCGCTCTGGGTGTGGTCATATCTCGTAAGAATTCTTTAGTCACCACAACATGAGAGGTGTGACTATCATACATATCATAATAGCATAGGGAGCCCTAATTACTATGTAGTTGACCGTGAGACCACAACAATCATATTTGGTATCCTTATACATGATTCCTATCTCATCTTGTTTAATCATAATTCATTACTTGCACATGAACTTGACCTGGCCATAATTGGCTCAACATAGGTAAACCAGGAGTCGTATAATTGCACTTCCTCGGGATAAACCCTCGTGCAAGTCATCCTCCTTAAACATCATAATATCACCATGAGATATATATTTTCCCACTTGTGCATCCAAATACAATAATCATGAAAAGTCAAGCCCAATCACCTTCTCTAACTATCATAAGGCATATCCACAATTAAACCCACATCTGGCAACATGTATGCAATCATCAACATAAACAAGGTCCATATCGATTAGGACAAGTCAATAATATCATACAACAATCCATGGTTCATCATATAGCATAAAAGTCCATATACCCCTAATCATGCCATTCTAGTTCACCTAGATCAATTCTAAGCATCAATATAATTATCGTGATACGACAAACCCGGTATGCCGTGCTAATCCCTCACCAGTTCTGGCCGTTCAAACACCGGTTTAACCTTCCCGTACTAAAACGTCAATTTCACGAACGAACCCCGAATTAAAATCCGAGACCGTCCTAATATCCCCTGCAGTATCCCCATCATTATTAGTTCTAGACTCCGGGTCAAATTCTTGATAAAAACACATCAAACCCTGGCCGAAGCTAAATTCAGCGATTTGGACCCCGACCTAAATAATTGCCGAAATTCAGGGATTTGAACTAGAGGATTGATTACCTCGCTGCAAGAAGCTCATATATGAAATTTGGGCTCAATCCGGCTTCCGGATACTCCGAAATCCTAATTTGGCTTATCGGGAGTTCAAGAAATTTCTGAACCAAAAACTCGTTTTAAAGCTCTAAATCGATAAATCACGATGTATGGATGAATTAGGCATTGCTTACGGGATTTTTGGATCACTAGGGCTCAAGAATTTGAGCTTTGGAATTTCTCTCCGAGCTCCCCTGTTCGCTCTGCTCGGCTCGCTCTGTTTCCGTTTCCCCTCGGTGGAAAGTGAAAAGAAGATGGAGATGGGATTTAAATGGACACGGGACAGATATATATACATATACTTATATACTTATCTGATCGATCGATAATTCGATTTTCGCCGAAATACTATCAAAACGCTCGATTTTAAATCGCGAACTTTCTAGGGATCGAAAATATGGGGTTTTCCGAAACGGGATGTTACAATTTTCCCCTCCTTAAAAGATTTCATCCCCGAAATCTAACCTTGAGTTGTACCCTTAGTCCGCTTACTTACCCTTGACATGGTCTATCGTAAATAAACCATTACCTAACTCTTAGGTTAGGCGATTCATAACATAGAAAGTAACACATAACACCTCAAGTTCCCATGTTTTGGTTTCAAAAACCTATACTGGGCTATCACAAGAAAAGTACATCTACAAGTTCAAAACAGAACTTACTAAGCAAGATTATTAACCTGCAAAGTAGGTTGCTACTAACTCAGGGTACTTCTCTCGCATACTTGCTTCAGTCTCCCAGGTAGCACTCTCACTTTCTTGATTCCTCCACACAACCTTCAACATTGGAATTTCCTTCCTACGAAGAGTCTTAATATGAAAATCAAAAATCTCAACTGGAATCTCTTCAAATGTCAAATCTGGACTGAACTCGATATCTTCTGGTTGTATAACATGGGAAGGATCCACTTTGTACCTCTTCAGCATACTAACATGAAATACATTGTGGATTTGAGATAGTTCTGGAGGCAATGCCAACTTATAAACCACTGGTCCAATCTTTTTCTGCCGATCTTGAGCCACCCTCATACGCTCCCTGATTTCCTTGACCTTATCAACTGTGATCTGAACTATCTCTGGCCCTGAGATTTGCCTTGCTCCTTCTACATCCCAACATAATGGTGTTCTACACTTCCTCCCATAAAGTGCTTGATATGGTGGAACACCCAAGCTACTATAGTACTGGTTGTTGTAAGCAAACTCAATCAGGGGCAAATGGTCAATC